GCACGGCCCCCTGGGGCGCTGTTATTCCCTGGCCTGCCACAGATGCTGCAGCAGACGGGATGCCCACTTCACCTGCATCCACAGCCTGCTCCCAGCACACGGCTCTGAGGTCCAGTATCACAGGTGGCACGCAGCCAGCTCCCGCTGGGAGCCATTCTGACAGCTTTCCCTAGGGATATGCATGACTTTTTGTGTGCCCTAGATACTCCTCCTCTCTCCCTTGGGGCATCTCTCTTGGCTTCCTCCTGTCTCAGGGATGCAGGGAGGTTGGCAATGGCACTGCCAGCGCAGGGATTATTCGGTTCCCAACACCAGAGTATCCCCCCTGGCCGCACCCATCCCTTGACTCTCCCTCCCTGGTTCTGGAAGTCTCTAGAAGGATCCTCCCTCTTCCTATTCAGGGTCTGGTAAACTGGAATTGACACTGGTGCGTAAAATCCAGCAAGCAGAGTAGTTTCAGATTCTGCTGGCTTTGATCAGCTCTTTGCAAAGCCCTCACACCCCTTTGCAAGGGGAAGTTTCCAGATGTGGATAGGCAGTCTGAACACTTTTTGCCAAATCAGTTCATTCTTCTTATTTGTCATTTGCAATAGCACAAGCACACAGTGTGCTAAATCCTGCTCAGTCCTACACATAGAGCAGCAAACGCAGCATTCAGCAACGATCCTGCCCAGAGAAGCATTGCAGGCAGTGCAAGGCAGGGAGGCATGCGGGGAGTATGGTGACTCTGGACACATCAATACCACAGCCATTTTATTTGCAAATGTCAAAATTCTTTGCCTCCTCCATACTGACAACATCTGCTGCTACACAGGACATACGAGTTGTACATCCAGTCAGCTCTTTCTTGAGGTGCTAAGGGTTCCCTGGAGAAGACAAGGGCCAGACATTTCATTACCTGTGGATGCTTTGTTTCAGTCAAGATGATACAGAGCAGAGAAGGACGGCCCCTCACTACAAGAATGACATTGAGGTGCTCAAGTGTGTCCAAAGACGGGCAATGAAGCTGGTGAGGGGTCTGGAGCACAAGTCTGATGGGGAGCGGCTGAGAGGTCGTTCAGTCTGGAGAAGAGGAGGCTGAGAGGAGACCTTATCACTCTCTACAACTACCTGAAAGGGGGTTGTGGTGAGATGAGTGTTGGTCTCTTCTCCCAAGTAACTAATGATAGGACAAGAGGAAATGGCCTCAAGTTGTGCCAGGGGAGTTTTAGATTGGATATTAGGAAAAATTTCTTCACCAAGAGAGTGGTGGTGGTCACCATCACTGAAGTGTTCAAAAAATGTGTGGATGTGGCACTTCAGGACATGGTTTAGCGGGCATGGTGGTGTTGGGTTAACGGTTGGACTTGATCTCAAAGGCCCCTTCCAACCTTAATGATTCTGTGATTCTGTGAGGATGGCTTTTTGTGAGACACCTATGGTGTGGAATTGCTCATCAGTGCTTGAACCCCCATGTTTGTATATACATGACAAAAACTCCTTAGCTGCAGCAAAGATCTAGGTAAGTAGAAGGACATGTGCACTGAGGAGCAACAAAGGATGGTTCAGCACTGATCCAAGAGCTGCCTGATAAGCCATGTCTGTGCTTTAGAAAGGAGGCATGAAAACAGGGGCATGCAGCACCTTGCAGACCTGAGCCCTTCAGGCTCTGCACTTCATGCCTTGAAAGTCCTTGCTGAGCACTACACAGAGGCCCCCAAACCCATCCTCTGTCGTGCCCTCAAAGACTGAGGATGTTGTGCTAATTTCAGAGTAATCGGTGCAGCTCCATTGCTGCTGGAGTACAACCTCCTGCCTCTGCAACACTGCTGAGAAGATGCAGAAGTCATCAGAGCTGGCTCCAAACTGACCTGCAAGGTTCTGCTTCAGTTAGAGAGGGCTGGTGCAAACACCAGCCTTGGCTCCAAGTGCTGATGTGTTAGGTGTGGTGGTTGCATACCTCCAGGCATACCTCGCTATCTGTTACTGCTCTGGTCACGGTTTTGGAGTTCCATTGCTGATTGCTTAATACCCTTCTCTGCTCAGCACTGTCAGCTGCACACACGCGGCAACAGGGTTCAACACATGGC